CAGCCAACGCCACCGCGTTCATTGCTGACGAAATCTCTGCACAGATACAGAAGGTTCGTTTGGCATTTGCCAACTTACGCCATCTCTGACGCAGACGTGATATCCGGCTGGCTGTCGACTAAAGGACGTACTTACTTCTCGGCAGTTCGCTCTGTCCTCCTTTATGGTTGTGAGCGAGACATTGCGATTGAAAGTGGAAGACGTGAAAAGACCAGCTGTCTTTGATCATAAGTGCCTGCGTTCTATCTCCCGTGTGTGTTAGGTGGTATAATAGGGTGAGCAATATTGAGGTTAGGAGTTCAGTGAGTGCTAGGTAAGGAGGGGAAATCAATAGACGAGGCTGTGAAGTTACATCGACTGAGATGGTTAGGACATATGTTATGCATGCGTGCCTAGCCATCGCCTTCCTTGACGGGCATAGGATGGAAAAGACCCAGTGGTGGTCAAACCAAAACATGGCCTCATCAGTCAATGAAATCCACAACAGTCAGTTTAAGCCCCCCTCCACGTCGGGAGGTGTAGACTTCCTGGTTGATGTCCTCGGGATGGTAAAAACCAGTGGCTGGAGATAACTGGTGATATGGCTCAAAATCGTTCTCAATGATGGAGCAGATGCATTCAATTTTTGTGATTTGTCATACCCAATTAAATGCTATTGTTCCTCAATATTACTATTCTTTTCCCTCACATTTCTGTTTTTTATCTCTCTTTTGAATGTCTCTTTACTCTCTTCTTTTGCTTTATATGCTACATGGAGTGTGGCAGCTCGAAATGCGGCACATATGTGCAAAGTTCTACGTTGAAACCAGTCAGTCAGTCATGTGTTCCACTCGGAATGCACACGAATCAGCACAACAATATAAGTCAATCTGAACGAAGGAATATTCTTCCAAATAAATTCTCTTCAGCTTCTTAGAAATATAAAATACAATATTTGTTGTCGTTACAATAATGGTCAGTTATGCGGTGGGTACATTCTACGTAGTATGATAGATTAGTTATAGGCTGACAAAATAAGTAGTATATGTGCGACAAATATGCTGGTCTAAATTCAACTACAAAATATCACTGTTCGTATCGTGGACAAACTTTGATTAGAATTTCTCTTCTCCAAGAGTGTCTCCTTCTCTTATTCGTTGTTTCTTTTGCTTTGTTTATTATTATTACTACTAATCATAATTTACACCCTTCATTCGAACATTCTTTCAATACTATCAAACCCTCCACATACAACACTATTCGGACTTATTATTAATGATAGCATCTCTTTTCTCAATACATGTTTCCACCTGTTTCATTTAGCATAGTTATTCTACGATTGACTATTCACCACTACCTTACTATCTTCTTTTTAATGCTGCTTAACTATTTTGTACTAGCCACTCAACTGACACCTTTTACAGCCTTGAAATGACTAGTCAATTTTCCCTTCTCATATTGCTTAAACCTATTATGACTAATCACCGTCGTCGTAGTTGAACTCAGACCAGCACATTTGTCACACATATACTACTTATTTTTGTCAGGCTATAACTTATCTATCATACTACGTAGAATGTACCCACCGCATAACTGACTATTATTGTAACGACAACAAATATTATATTTCCTACTTGTAAGAACCTGAAGAGAATTTATTGAGAAGAATATTCTTCACTCAGATGGACTTTTAACTTACAAGATGGGAATATTTCACACTATCAAATCTTATAACAACACTTGCAATATGACTAACAGGCTAGGAGACTTGACATTGAGGTAAACTTAGAATTGATGCTGAATAGTTGGAGGTTTAAGGTTCGAATCTCAGAAAAAACATCCATTCCTCAGAAGTTCCAGATACGCTTCATCGATGAGTATTAATAACTACGAAACTCAGATTCACAGCTTGTTATCAAATACCTCTAACCATTTAACATATATTCAAAGTTCCACAGGACGGTAAGTCTCCTACATTAGTCATCAGACTGCAAACTCGACTGGTAGCATTCACTTAGCTCGAAGATCAAATATCATACCAATGGTCATATCCCACTGACTAATTAATGTGACCATATCATCTAAGAAACCTATAGAGAGGAAAAACAGGCTACGACATATCCAATGTAACCGATCAATACGCAAGATCTTCTATCCACAAGTGATATGACCATGGTAGGTTTGTAATCACCATCCTTAAGACTCCTATCAGACTAGATTTACATCACATATTGGAATGCCTAATACAAACCAAATATCATGAGCAATTTATTCATATGAATATAGAACAAACGTTAGACATATTATTCGGATATTGGGACTTTTGATCGATGGTGCAGAAAACTAATTAGTGTTTATTTTAATGTGAAGCGAATCGTTCCACAGTAGTTAGGTCAAAACGCGGAACTAATCTATTATTTGTGAACTTGTAAAAGGAATTTGGCATTATTAAGGTCTGTTATCAGTTAGAGAACCACTGAAAACCAGCAGGGAGTACTGGACAGCTGTTTCATCTTAGTTTGGGAATCATCGGCAGTATGCACCCACTGGTGGTTGCGCGCTAAATCATGAATTGGTAGAAGTTAGAATTCATAGGCTGGCCATTGAAGCGGGTCCCAGTAACTGAATGGTATACGAGCTAGCTGACCTTTTAGCCGGAAGGTCCTGGGTTCGAACCCTGTCAGGAGGTGCGTACTGCCGATGATTCCCAAACTAGGATGAAACAGTTGTCCAGTACTTCCTGCTGGTTTTCAATGGTTCTCTAACTGATAACAGTCCGTGATCAATTCGTAAAAACAAATCTAATTCTTACAAACCAACTATTGAAAATTATTAAGGTCATAGCAGTTTATTTATATACCTGAGAAACACCACACATTGAGAGGATATTATTATGTGATAAGCTTCGACTCAAGAAGTATTCATCAGATATACTAATAAGGAGATTATAGGCATTAAGCTCGGTAAACGTTGACTATTAAATTCGAAGTACAATATATACGCCTAAACCATACAAGAATAATTAATCTAAAGTACAGTACAACATAACCGGAGGAAAAAAATGTGTTAATTCTCAAGAATTAAGTAATAACCAATCCATAATTCTTCTGAAAGTTAATCAAATATCATACTATTTTAAGAAATTCGATATCAATACATAGAAAAACAAACCATGTTTGAGAAAGATTAAAAACCTACAACTGACACAATAATAAAAATAATAATACTAAAAATAATCTGCCATTTTAATACGCTTTCATTTTTCACTTTCATATTTAAAACTAATCACTATATCGTGTTGTTCAGATTTAAAATAGGGTTATTTTGTCACAGATTGACAGATATGCCTGGAAAATTTCTACACATTCTTAATATGTGTCACAAACGACAATTTGTAAAAACATAAAAAAGGAAGGTTAAATATTGTACATTTAGAAAATTTCTTTAAAATACTTGACACTTTACCAGTTGGTGAGTGAAATTGAGGTGAAAACTGGAAGATTCCCCCTAGTTACATCAATTTTTTAATCCCAAAAATTTTAAGACAAAATACATCACGAAAGAGAAACGATATCAGTTGAGTCGTCAATTCTCTGAGTTTCAGCACATAGAACTCTGCACAAACGTGCAGCAGTCCAAGTTGCAACACTCTATGTAGTGAACAAAGATAGAGAAGAGAAAAATTTTTAAACTGTAATGTACAGGAGGATTTAATGGATCCGGGAGACTACGAAGAGTGAATGAATCTGCTCCACTGATGACACTTTCGAGTCATATCACTAACAGTATGAAGCCATTGGTTCTTAGAATCCCAAGGACTCCATTCAGGCAGTCTACACCCTGAGAATTGGCTCAAATCAACGGTCAAAGACTTCATGGACTCATGACACGTTTGCGTTTCGCTATCCCTAACTCTCTTCAAACCTAATCCTATGTTAGCTAACATTTCTCGGTGTGAGGGAGGCGATGACTTCGCATATGTAACACGTGTCTTAGCCATCTCAATTGATGAAGTTTCCCAACATTATCGATTTACTTGCCCTTTAAGCCTAACCTTAATATTACTCACTATACCACTCAACACAAGAGATAGAACGCGAACATGTTCCAGATTATAGCAGTTATATTTATATATGACGTTAGGAAAAGTTAATCTTATCCTTGATAAACAATATAATTATCCGAACGATACCATTACAAAATTCTTATTTTTATTTCATTCCTTTGTGTCCCGAATGGAACATAGAGTTTTAAGCTTTGAGCTCTGGATTTCCAGTAACAGTGTTATTTTTTACGAGATGGATGGGGTTGCTAGTTTCCCCCACAACCTCCCCTCTCTATCGGGTCTACTGCTAGCTGGGATCTGGGAGTGAGCTGGCATGCGTGGTTAGCGTGCATTCTACCGCTGAACCAACGACACACACAATATTTTTTTATATTTTTGATTACAGCTTGATTCCACACCGTATTTTTTGGTACAGGTATGAAATTTTTAGCATGTGATATAGGTAGCCCAAATTTTGCACGCCGACCACAGATATCAGGTGTGCGTCTGCAGGGGGTCGAACCCCGGACCATGTGCATGGTCGGCGAGAGTCCTAACCACTGTGCCACCGACTAAGTTATCATCGAAGACTTTCTACATGCACACTGTCAAAAATGAGAAATAATTCAGTTAACTTACAATCAAAACAGTAACAAGATAGGATGCAAGCAAGATGATGTTTTGAATATTAGTGTTCACATAAAATTACCCTACTATGACAGGTGTTTTGATTTTCCATCACTTTACAACACATAATTTAATTTGGATTTAATCGAATATTTAGGTGGTGATTGGACATTTCAGAAAAAAGCCCAAGTAATTCAGCAAGTCTTGTTATCTTTTAAAACCATTATATAATCCTAATGTCCCCAAAATATATTCAGGACTGGCACAGTGTTTCTCATTTTAAAAATTATGAATCAAATGTAGCACAGTAATTATCAGAAAATTGGTGTCAAAAAAGGCTTAAAATTACCTAGTCGAAACGGCTCCAAATAGTCTGATATTAGTGCATCATCCTCTGGGAAACGCACCCGACGTTTTGCTTTACAACTGGCATCTGAATTCGACCGGGATAGTTTATTTTCAGAACGATTGCAATGAATAGCCGTAACAACGTCAATATTATTGGTCATTCGGTTTTATACCTTCCAAATAAAATTAACTGTGGGGAAATATAATACAAAAAAATATTTGAATTAACTAGCAAGATAGTATATATAAAGTTCGATACGTTTACGGATTTTAAATTTAAAAAGTGCAATGTGAAATGTATACAAATAACATATTCTGCAAACCACATGCAGTTGCATCTTAAAATATACACCTGGGAAACTACGGAATAGTCAGTAAGAGACGAAATGGTCCCATTTGTTGTAGTCTAAGAATTCAAACAATTGCGTCCACGTAAAAATCAAACCTTTTTGCTGGGAAGTGGGATGGGTACTATACATCGCTTTTTATACGCTTTTTTACAAAATGCGACCGGTATGCAGTACAATACTGCAACTTAAAATACAATAAAGAGACAGTTTTACGTTAACTTATTAAGTGTTGATGTTCGAGAAATATTTTATTATTCCAAGATTTACTACGCAAATAGTGTGTGCAACTTATCCAAAGAGTTAAACGCGAAGTTATAACAGTGTGTTCTCAGCAAATAACTTGTTAAACTCAGGTAGCGAAACACTGTAACATTTTCTGCCAAACCCATTACTCGAAATACACAGAGTTCCTCACTCGAATACTGTCTTTAGTTGTACGATTTCCTTTAGAAATTCAGCATAGTTATATTGCTTACATGTAGAAACAAAGATATCCACTTGTGAGAAGAAACCTGTTGAGCGGATTCACTAGACGTTCATTAAAAATAAAAACACTCAAAAGGATTTGGAGCAGCTGGTACACCAGCTATTTGTCTACTTTGTTGCTATTTGGAACGTGGCAACTAGAACTGCTGCACTTCGGTGCCAAGTTCTATGTTGAATCCAGCAGCAGCAGCTAAGAAGCTGGTTGCCACGTGAACCGAGACCCAACACAATATAGTGGGTTTTGTCTTGTCTACAACCAACTTAGCGGGACAGTATATTCAGTCCGTTTTTCTCAGTCACCAACAACCTCGATCTTAGTATTAAAATATAACAAAACAGTTCACAAAACTTAGAAATCGACTACAAGATAAAAAGACATTAGTACAACATATGTGAATCCCAAAGAAATGAAAGAAGAGAAATACAAAAGATGTTAGTACGCTCATATGTAAACAAGTATTCTAGAACTAAGGGAATTCAGAGGAAAGACCGAATAGACACTTTCTCGATGTGGAAAATTAGAAACATGTTAACTAAGAATATTATAGATTGGAGGATTTAAACTCACTGATATAAGACTAGTAAAAATCAAACAGTAACCTTAAGTAAATGAATCAAAACAAATAATGTAGAGTATGAAATGACAATAATTTAAACTAAAACAACCAAAATAAGATAAACGTTCTGGTAATAAACCCCAAATTTTGACTGAAATATAAAAATATACTTTAATGCGTTAGGTAGCAACCTGCAGACATAACAGTGTAAAAATTTACAGAGACGAATTCGGTTAATGGACAATTTCATGGAGCATTCACTGTTTCCACTTGCAAGCTGCATGATAAATAGGTGCGATAGGAACGATTTTAGTGAATACTAGTCGTCCGCATTGCTCTTGCGTTTCGATATGCAGATAAAACTGTGACAATTAAAAGGGTTAAAACAAAATCCATTTGTTCACAGATAGAAGCAAACGTGAACATCAGCATTTCGCTAATACATCATCCACATAATATCATTAAATAATCGGAAACTAACTACGTTCGGCTTCTGGCCAACGGAAACAGACGCAGTCTTTGGAGAATGACTTACCAGTTCAAAAACTTTTAGCACCTACAATTTTTGTCCCTGTATTAAAGACCCCACACTGGAGCTGCCATACCAGAGCTGAATAAGAACTGATTAGAACAGAAATAATTGAGTGAGCCTATAGAAAGAGGTAAACGATAATAAATTAAATAGATAAAATGCACAGGACAATACAGTGGTTAAGACTGAAAAAGTCACATCTATTTGAGTATGCACTGACTCAGGCAAATGTCAACTACACCACAATTGATAGTTAAATAAACTCTAAGACCTGTAAGGCGAGATCGCACACATGATCTTATAAATGGGTGAAAAATTCGCATGTGAATGTCTTTAAAATGATTCTGTATGGGACTCTACAGATAGAAACTATACAATACTACAAATAGCAGTAACTTATACAAGCTATCGGACTAATATCCAAATTAATATGAACATAAGGATGTCCTCATGAATTAACATATCTGTGAAACTTGGATACTGTGGTAGTGTGTAATTCCACATTAATTTGATCATCAGGTATATCACACGGTTACACGGCATAATTTACTGAGATACTTTGCACACAACTCACTGGCACAATTATGAGTAGTAAATCATATTTCAAATGCTGCTTTAGTGTTACCTATATATATATATATAAATGTTAGTCTCCAGGAGGACTGGGTACTGATAAGCTACTAAAAGACTTTGGGGAGTCAGTGGCACAGTGAGTCATTATATAACCTATATGTTATTCCATAAAATTAAGACTACCTTAGCAGTATAAAAATAAGTTTTTTAAACTCCAACATAAGTTCAAAGTAAACATATAAAAAGGAGTGAACCTCAGTAGCAAATCTGTGAAGCAAACGAGACACGTGATTGACTATACTGAAATCAACACCACTTGTTTCTTGATTTCAGATAAAATTACACAGTTCTACACGTTCACTAAACACGAGACAAAAAACTTGTCACAAAACGTGTGTTGCGCTCGTACCTGTCGTAAATACTGGATCACAACTTTTAAAGAAACCTACACACATTTGCGGTCACCACACAGAAATCCCAGTAAAGGAAGATCCTCAAACATGTTCACTTAAATGACTCGATAAAAAATTTTCAATTTGGAGTGGGTTGAAGCAATTACAATAATGCTGAAGTAGTGCTCGCAAATCCTGACCAAAGCCTTTCTCTACAGTGGATATATTCTGAAATGATCCTAAAACGAATGGATATTCCACACAAAACAGCATTTTTTGCTGTTTTTCCACACCGCCTGCGTTAGTTCTGTGACTACTGCCAATTGATGCTAAACTAAGCTAACAATATTGGAAGCTCGGAGAAAGATAGGAGCGAGTGGGGGGGGGGAACCGGAACCTTCCCTAATGTCCCCAAAAATGAGCTCTAATTATTTCTCGAGACAACAATAATTTGTACCCCAAAAGTTATCCACCTGACCTAAAATTTTGTTACCTGCTCTGAAATCACCCAAGCTTACTATAATGCTGAATTAAATCTCACTAATTCTGAAATAATTCAAACATTCTATAGTGAGTAAATTCTGGATGTATTCTGAAATGGATTCTTTAATGGCACAGACTAGAACTCAGTGCTGGTTTTCAGCATGACTGGCACTAATTCAGCACTGTGTTCTTTTCCTAGGCATTTTCATGAGTAAATCAGAACCTACTGGGTTTGCTTATCAGCGTTATTCCACACCTCACAGGACATATTAAGCACGGACTAGCGTTAATTGAGAACACAGTGGGTTTATAAAACCTATTTTGACGATAAGAAGGCATTATCGAAGAATAGGTTAGGATAAGTTTAGAATTGTTGTTAGCTTGAGCACAAGCTCACTTCAGCTGACATGGTGAAATAATGAAAAAAACTACAGTTATCTCATACCTATAAAAATTTGTTACGACATTAAGAAAAAGGACATGTTTCAATGTCCACAGGCTACTAAACACCATAAGAAATCAATGAAAATACAGAACGACCTACCAAAAAGAAGGTTTGACCTTGAAAACGAAATGTTCGCCACTATGAATCAATGCTCAATATTTTCACTACTTTAGGTTACTAGTGGAACATAGGGCTACAAGCTACAGCTTTGAAATTTCGGTAGCAGTAGTTTTATTTTCACGGGGCGCGGTTGCTAGCCTCAGACCCAAACTTCCCCTTTACCTGCCTTACTACCGACTTAGCGAGGTTAAGGAGTGCATCGGCCGTGGATCGAACCTTAGGCCGCAAGCGTGGCTGGCAAGCATTGTACCGCTGAACCGCTGACATCGTAATGCTCATTATGTGATACTTATTCTGCAAGCCGGTAAAAATCAAAACAAATCCGTACTGCCCACTTCTTGGACTTGAAATAATGGGTAGTTTTCGGTTTATGCTAAGGCCGTGACGCTAATGGTATTTAAGTCAGTCCTCTCAGCAACGAGCGTTCTGGCAGCATATTTCATTCATGTAGTGAACAAACACCGTTTAATATGGTTCATTAGGGATTTCAGTAAGATCTGTTGAAAATTACCTCCCATAACTCCAAGCCTTGTTGCTTCTATACCTTAGTTTATCAAGATTAGTTTGGCTTGTCCTGAATCACCATTTAATCCAGGCTACTCTTTTTGATCGCAGGATTCTTTGGAGCAATGCTTTAATCGAAAGGATTATTTCTTTTGAGTGACAATATCGGAAATCTCCGTTGGAGCTATTTCACTTGTTCGCAGTCTCATCCACTTGATGGTGATGTACGATCTGATAGCATTGGAGTAACGGAGAAACCGTTTATCGTGTCCATCTGGTTACTTCACTCAAAACACAGATAAGGATAGGAAGTATCACACTCTATACGCCAACAAAGTACTATATTAAATGTCATGAAGAGTGATCTCCACTGTCGAGAGGGGACTTCATATAGGGAGTAAATGGTCGTCAGTCAGAATATACTCCAGTTAAGATGACTTTCTATCCTAAACCCATCTGGTGTCGTCTACTGCTGCCACGTTATATCCGTCTCTCCTGAGTGATTTCCGCTAAAACAGCTAACCCAAGTCGGAGACAATTAACCTCAGTCGAGAAACTGGGGTGGTTTTCGCGCAGTTATGTGTGTGATGAGCTACTGCTCGTTCTGTTTTGTTTTCCTTGTTGAATCTCGCCAGTAGATCCTTGGTTCATTAAAAGCGGCACCATACCCAAAGTTTAGCTGGCAGCTTATCTATTGTTTTAATGCATCCAAGTTAGCCTCTAGGAAGCCGGTTAGCTACTCTGTCTTAAAGAACAAAGGCTAGCTTCTGATTGGCTTCAACCAGAAATAACACTCATGATGGCAGTGTGCTCACCTATCTTTCTAGTCCTACGCCATGGCCATCCTATCTGCTGACTGTTTAGCCTGATCCACTAGACTTAGTGATCTGGCTGCTCTTAACTTGGCCAACAACTAGTGAAGAATGGATCAGACACTCACGGCCATTCAAGGTGTATTTATCATCTATACTACAAACAGAATGTGTTAATGCCTAAGCACACCATAACGATGCAAACACGCTCTTGTTCCGTGGAATTCCGATTGTTCACAATATCATTCATCCAGCACACATCAATAAAATAAGTCGTTGGAGAAGAAATTACTCATGTTCAGTTAAAATGACTAATTTCTTTGACACGCTGCTGCAGCATCTCTCCTTATAATCCTTTTCTAGTCTGAATACAACAGCAAAACTGTGTAGTGACCTTTTGCTCAGTGTCAGCAGAGATCACCTTTGTTTTAGTTGGTATAATTATCTGGTGGTCCAGGTTCTAATGTGGGTATCTGAGTTCCACCAAAACTCCCGCCCGCTCTCTCACCGTCACTATTTAGCCATGAGTAATCAATCTTGTCGGCTGTTTTAAATGCGAGGACAATTTCATTTTTCATTTTTTAATGTTTCGGGCGACATTTTCTCGAAATTGGCAGTAGGCGATGACGTGGTAGAAGTAGTCCACTGGCAACTCTCTTGCCTGATGAGTCAAACTTATATGTTCGGATATCTCATCATCACTAAGGCATCAAAGAGTAAGAGAATATCTCTCATCTTCTTAGCAGAATTTAGTACTATTCTTAGTGGTGTGTTTTCCTGAAGCGTGCAATCCTACCCCGGGATATGTAATACAAAGCTTGATTGGCAGTATGTTTACCCCAAGTTTCCTACACAAAGAACCTTACTACTTCTGGTGGAACAGTTTTTCTGTTCTAGTAAGCCAGTATATACCAGCCAGTCGAAGGAAAATGGACAGTTATACCAACGAATGTTTGCCTGCATTTCTATCCTTAATTGTTCAACATTTTAAGGGAGGTTCCAGAATTATGTTCCCTTAGAATCCTACGTAATCACATTACCTTATTTCGTGCTAATAAAACTATGTTTTGGTGAGAATGAAGTCTGTTTTCCTAACGTCGCAGGTGCATCCGCCAGTAGCAGTGAGAGGCTGGTACAACAAGTACCTGGATTAGAAATGACTGTAGTTGTCTTTAATGACAATAAACTCATTATCCAGCCAAGATCTGTGAGTATTCATTCTGTGGACGATGCAAAGTAGCTTTCGTGTTAGCGCGCCCAGTGGTATACCCACAGTACCTGTTGGAAAAACACTGCATACCACGGGGAAATATTTAAGAGAAATAGGAAAGGATATTGACACGTGCAATACCGTCCTCTCACTCCACTGTTGCACCGGTAGTGCACCCTGTATTTGCAGAAGTGATTTCAGAGAAGTAGTCACTTTCGTTAGCTATAGTACTGTAAATGCGGGACTCTTTGTTTCCATCAAATGATAACTTCTGGGGTTTGCTCTTGTATCGGGTTTTCGTCTTCTCTAGATAGTTTTACTGGCCGCACCAGAATCGATGCTATGGGAGCACTGAATGGTTTACGTAACTCGGCCATTTGTGTTGCCTTTCAAGGAGATGGGGAATGTGACATACCGAAGGGGCCAGTGTTCATTTGTTCAGGTTTGAAGAAAAGGTATCAGTAATAGCTAAACTGGGGTGTTAAAATTTGTGAATTGATTTTCCCAGCCCACATTACGGGCTATAGATACGACAGAGAAGGTGGACCTGAAGGACTATGGTACAGTAATATCCACTATCTCAAGTTATGTTGAGGTACCACAACTATTCATGTCATCGCATAAGTGCTAACGCATAGTTAACCATCCTAATAAAGGAACAGAGATCTAGTAATTGCGAATAAGATATTTATTGATTTCACCTTAAACTATCGGGTTATTCGTCTTTACACTTATGAAGCAACCTATGTACTTGTAATTTCTACTTGAATCAGTGCTCCCTTTTCTTCAGATATTCTCACGGAAAGAAGCACTGAGAAGACCAGTGAAACCCTTTGGATTTACATAATACAATGCAGTAGTACGTATCACATAAAAATATCATCTCAATGGTTAAGCAGGAGAAGAAGACTGCCAGGGAAAAAGTACGGCCACAGAGAATTTAAACCAAAATACAGAATACTCAGGTCACAGTAGTCCTCAAATTTCATACTCAGTTTTCCGTGTCGGATGTCATTATTTGGCGCGTACTATGAATACTAGCATGTAAATGTATCTGATCACAAGTCGTAGAAAACCTGTCAGTGTTTTTCGGATGTCTTTGCCCGAGTGTGACTAAATCCACTGAATTTAACTAACTGAAAGACCTCATTACCACTGGTCATTTCTCAAAGTGACACAGAATAAATTCAGTTACACAAATTAAGCATTTACATGATTAACATGCAAGATCATATATGACTTAAATATTCAATAAATTCAGTCATCCTATTTTACACTTCTTTTGAAATGTGCAGCACATTAGTGGTGCAGAAAATATCCTGAAAGTTACTCATACATACTGCCAGTAATTGTGTCGTCGAATCATACCACAGGAGTACATTTAACAATACTTTGTTAGTGGTCTGAGGGAAAAAAGTATTAGAGAAAACATACAGGCTAGATGAAAGTTCCACAAAGTTGTCTCACTATTATACACTGTCGCACTCGCCAATTTTTCCTCTACATGTGAACGTAGCCACATACTGGTATTTGGAAAAGGTCATCGCTATTAGCAATCTATAGGGTCCTCACTTTTTGAAAGTCTTTCAATGCGTTCGCAGATTCTTAGATATGTGTTGCTTCCGCTCGCACTGATTACCTGCGATGAAATTGGGACCCACGGTGTCGCAGTCACTGATAACAACCATTACGGTTAACCAGTCTCAAGGGTGTAAATCGAAAAGAGCATTGTATCTGTGTAGAAAACAGTGAAACAACGTTAGAATACTCAAATGTTACATTTATAGCCATCGCAGTTGCTTGCAATCCATGCGTAACACAACCAAACAAAACGCACACGGCAGCACCTACCTATGACAAATCGAAATCCAACTGACCGCCACTGTTCTAGCCAATGAAAGACGAAAAAACCATGAGCGAGGTAAATTTAAGACGCGATAACCTTTATCCTCACCCCTCCCTGACACAACATGAGGAATCTTTTACTCAAGATCATTCTGAATTGCAGACTTCGTTCGACCGCAACTCCGTATGCTTGGAACCAATGACAAGTCCTCAACTGCTATGCTTGCAAAAGAAACCTCTCCATTCGCTTATAATAGCGAAACATGTGAGCCAGATGTCTGATTCCTGCAAAGTTAAGTAAACTGTCAGTACAAGGCAAAGCCGATAACAATATTACAAGATATTATTCAGAAAATATCCAGGAAACAAATTACATAGCTTGATGAAATTTGGGTTCGTTTGCTTGTGTGCATCAAATAGAAATAATGTTGGTAGCTGTCATGTGACAATCCGTCCTGTGCAGAACTCCATCTTCTCTACCAACTTGTTAACTCGGCGTGACCCATCTTATCTTGTTGAGCAGGTTGTCTCTAACAGAGTCCAAAACAATGAAAGCAGTGTAGCTGCCGAGTCTGACCTCCAAATAGGCCTTAACGTCAGCAACTACTAAACTTGCTTTCCTCAGTTAACCCTGATAGGTTCACTA